TAACGATCACAAGGTCACACACTTCCATTCCCCGTTTAAACAGCTACAGGCAAAAGGGATAAGAGTTCCCTTACTCTTACTTGCGGGAGTAAATGAAGAGTGGAGACCGTGGGTCACATTATAAAACTTGAAAAAGGTGACGAAGATTGTTTTATCAGCCCGATTGTTATAACCCGGAAGAGAGACGGTTTGATTAAATTGGCATTAGATTCTAAATTTTTAAATGACTAGATTTTTAGAAACAAAAATCAAATGCCAAATATTCACGAACTTATAGACAACGTGGCCTTACAAATCTCAGGAAAACCCAATGGACAAGTCTGGTTTAGCAACTTGGATCTGAAAAACGCATATACTCAATTTAAATTGTGCGAGAAAATGAGTAAACAATGTAATTTCAGTATCGTGGGCGGCGAAACAACGGTAACACATCAATTTTTAACGGGATTTTATGGACTGGGTGATATGCCCAATGAATTTCAACGGGTCATGGACTCACTTTTAAAGAACATTCCGTTCACAAACTGTTACATAGACGATATACTGGTAGCATGGAAGGGATCTCTGGAGGATTATAAATCAATAGTCTATAAAATCCTAACAATTCTGGACAAGAATAATATGGTGGTGAAATGAGGGAAATGCCAATTCTTCAAACCTGAAATACAATAGGCTTCAAAATTTCCGGAGAGGGAGTACGACCGTTGGTCGTAAAACAGATGCTATCAAGAATTTACCAATCCCCAAGAACATTTCGGAACTGCGATGATTCTTCGGCTCTATGAACCAGCATGTAAAATTTGTTCCGAACTTATCAACTTTAAGTTCCCCACTACGTCCTCTGTTAAACAAAAAATCTGTATATAAATGGGACAATAATCACTCCTCAGCCTTCGAATAACTAAAAACCGAAGTTGTGATTATTACAGAAAACAGCCACTTCGTTATAAAAGAAAAAACCAGGTTAAAAACGGACGCATCACATAGCGGCCTGGCCGCAATTTTAGAACAGCTTCAAGGATGCAGTGGAAAACGATTGCTTTCGCATCAAGGTTTTTAAATAATCATGAAATGAAAAATTCTACGAACGAATTAGAAATACTGGGCGTGGTGTGGGCCTTAGAACAATTTAGAAATTACATTTACGGGGCAGAACTCGCAATCTTTACGGACCATAAAGCCTTACTCTCGGCTCTTTCGGCTAACCACGCAAATAAGAGTATGCATAGCCGATTGACCCGTTAAGTAAACAGATTGTTACCTTTTAATTTTAAAGTTTCCCACATCCCAGGAAAAGATATGGGTTTTACTGACCTTTTGTCTAGGTTACCATCGGGCAAAGCCCTTCCACCGTCTTACTACGACGAAGATTTTGTAGTCGCTTCAATTGACAAAATTAAGAATATTTTATCTAATAGAGACCATTTTAATCCTGTAAATGTAAATATAGTAGATAGACCGTCGGTCGCTGTAAATATTTATACACTCGTTAATAATAATATCTCGTTTGGAGAAGAAACTCAAGCGATTTGATTGGTCAAGATTCTTTGTATAGCTCTTTAGTTAATTTCAAGCTCAAAGTTTTTGTCGCTATTAAATCTTGTATTGCTCAGTCAATAAAATATTGCGATAATATTTCGCAGATAATGTCTTTTTACATTTCATCTTTAAAAATAAACATTTAATTCCTAAAAAAGTTAAAACTTTGATATAATAAAATTGGAGGATATTACCGGCCCTCTAATTATAAAGCCTGAAGAACACAATATTACCTTAAAGTTGGAAGATGACCATATTCCAGACGACCATGCAAACTTACTGAAGAGATTTAAAGCCGACCTAAACCTACCCCATTCTCCGATATTCCCCGAAGGTCACTGTTCCAAGAAATTTTTACAACTGATGACGAGAGAAGGCAAAGTTATTTGGGACTTGATTGACACAATAAAAACCAAACGGCCAATGGACATTCACAGAACATATATGAAAAACCTTCTCGAAGGACCTTCAAGTGAAAGATGATTTATTATTCCTGGGTAATAAGTTAGTCGTGCCGGCAATTATCAGGGGAACCTTCAGCGCAATGCTACACGAGACACACCCAGGCCAATTCGGGATGAAGTTTCTCGTGGAATACATTTGGTGGCCTCATACATACCGAGAGACATATCATCACGGTAAGAACCTCAAATCCTGAAAGCCGGTAAGAACCTCAAAGTTTTGCTAGGTACCGACCATACTACAAATTTACCGTCATTGACGTTTGCGAACGAGGAGATAAACCTGGACTTCGCAGGACCTTCGGACGCGTTTTGGGGAACAAAAAAATACATTCTCTTATGCGTTGACCGCTTCAATAAGTTCCCATTGGCCAAGGTAGTAAACAAAACTTCTTCAGACAGGGTTATCTCATTTTTGAACGATTATTGTTACCTTCACGAATTGCCAAGGAAGATTAGAGTCGACCACGGGTCATGTTTTTTATCACACGATTTTAAAAACTTCTGCTAAAATTACAACTTTGAAACCATTTACTGTACAATCGGCGATCATAGATCTAATGGGCTTGTGGAAAGACTGGTTTACACTGTAAAGTCTAAATTATTAGCCATGTCATTTGATTTACCAAAACCTTTCTCGATCGAAAAAATTATCTGGAACCTTAGAATCAAAAAATCAATCTACAATCGGTTGTACTCCGTTCGAAAAACACTTTAATAGAACGGCTAACACTAGTTTGAAAAATCTGATTTCCTTTAATAATCGCTTAGATAAAGGGAAATCGATTCTATCTAACCAACGGGCCAGAAACTGGGAATTGCACGACGGTGGGGAAGACGGTTATCTTGACGCGGACATGGACACTCAATCTGACAACCTGCTGTTAGCCCAGACAATACCGAGTTTCCCCGCACCAGAGGTATACAACCTGAGCAATGGTCCAAGAGCGACGAAGAGACTAGTTTCTGGAGGTAAATACTTTGGAAGGGCTACCAACAGAAAAAATGGGGAACCTTATTTTAATCCCATAAAGAAGGACATCATTGACTCATCCGAACACTCAATAACTCTTGATAACGGTCACAATTTACGGAAATCGGACTTAGCTTTTAAAGGAAAACTACTCCCTGGTCCTAAAAAAAATTGTTGTGAACCAGTCACCTATCGGGCACAATACAATTTTACTTTCGAGTTTAGCAGGAAAGAGGAAGCTATCTCCACCAAAGAGGACTATGGTGACAGACCACTCTCAGCTAAGACATGACAACTCATGAGCGGTTGGGCCCGCTCAAGCGTCTGGTTCGTCAAAAGACGCAGTGACTACTCACGAACTCACTCATAATTCTTCAGGTTCTTCGTCCTTCTTAAACTTAAACTCTTGGGACGGTATAATAGACGACTATTTTGATGATATGACAAACAATAGCGTACCGCCCAGCCACCAAGCTGGTTCTAACCAAGGGTTAAGTGTAACAGGTGATGCCCATATTCCTCAAATTAGGCCCAATCTCAATGTCGATACAGATCAACCGGCGGTCATAGACGTGCCAGAGTCTGCGGAAATAGAAGGCTCCGAGAGCAACCCAATTCTGTTGGACAGTACCCCAGAAGATGTGGCCCCATTGGTACCTCAGCCAAGACAATCCAGACCACGCAGGAACGTAGGACCCCCTAAATTCTTTGGAGACAGGAGATTTATAGACGTGGTGCTAGAAAAAGATGATCGGACTTCTCGTTCAGTTACAGTGCATGACGACACTCTTAACCACACCAGGGCAACATTCACCATAACCTCACCCGCAGACCTAATAACCCCATTAGCGGAGGCACCACCAATATCTACCCTAGTCGCAGAAACTACCCTACCCTGGTCATCCCAGAAAACCTGCCCATCGAAAAAAGCAAATTACATCCCGACTCAGTCAATTTCAACGAATATTGACACAGACTTAAAAGTCAGACTAGATGATTTCGACGCAAGATTTAATTAATCTTCCAAAAACTCGTCAAAAACTTTTCTTTTATTTTCAATTTATAGGATTCATTTTAATCAGCCTCTTTAAAGTAGATAATTTTGTACATGTTAAATGTACATCTTGTAGAATAGTGTTGTTTTATTTAGTTAATGTTTTTTTATCTCCTGTATAAATGTAATTTCTGTATATTCACCCTGTACATTTGTACTCTCCTTTTTCATTTGACATTCTATTTTGCTTGCTGTACTATTTTTTGGCGCAGTTTGTAAAAGTTGTTCCTACTCTGAAGGGGGAAAATGGGTGTACTGAGAATTAGTTAGCCAAATTGTAGTTATGTGTTTTTTCACGGTTGGAAATGTTGTGATTTGTTTTTAGCTATCTTATATGAGCTTCGGTATTAGGTCATTACCAGTTAACTTTGTACGATACGACCATCGGTCAATCGTAAAGTGTTCATTTAGTAGTTGTTTTTGAACGTTTTAATTTCACACTCTATTTTATCTGTTTTTTTTCTTTAAAGTAATTGTACATTAGTTGTACATAACTCACAGATTAACAGAAAACTTTATTAACGAGGCCAAACTGTGCATTTTGTCAATTGTAAGCGGAATCCGCAAAAAAGACGCTCCCTTTGTTCTTCTTTTGTTCTTTCATTTCGTTTGATCGTTCGGACAAAATTTTAACATTTTTAAAGACTTGTCTCTGGAATCCAGGAACATGCATACACAAAATTGTGCGCCTATCCAGTGCACAGTTTGGCCTCAAAATTGACTCTTTAGCAACTGTCTGTTAGCTATGATTCAAGTTTACTAAGTGGCGACCGGCTCGACAGCAGTGAGAGCGTCTAGGTATTATCGACCGCTGGAAAATGTGATCAACCAAACTTGACCAAGTTTTTTCATTGAATTGCTGGAGATTTCAGGTGCGCAGAATTTCAATTAGGAATTCGTAAATTTAAACTGCTTCTATCCCGACGACTCACTAATGTCAATATTTATAATGTGACTATGATATTTGTTTCAGTGTTGCGAAAAGTCTGGGAGCACTGGAACCGTGTCCGGCTTTGATGAATCGACTTAAAGAGGCAAATATTATTTCAGAAACTGTCACAGATGACCAAGCGGTCGACGCCTGCAAGCGATTCATGGGTTAGTTTTTAAATGTAATATGAAGTTGAAATTGAATTACGTTATCAATCAATTGAACGTTGTCAGTAGAATGAAAAAAAGATGGTTAGCTCTAAATTTAAAAAAAAATCAACTAACTGTGTGTAAAAATCTTGACGGACGTGATTCAGTCATTTACAAAAAAAACGCCACTAGAAGATTTCCCACATCTGGACAAGTTCGGATTCTGTCCTGATATAAGTAACTGCTACCACGTTTTTTTGCGTTTTTTCGTGACTGACATCATCATCATCATCATCGTGTCTTCTTTATGCACTTTTTCTCGATACTCAAAAGTGTTCCGAGGGTTTCTCCGCGATTACTTTTTGTCGCGAACTGGTTGAGATTTAGCCCCACGTCTACAGTAAGATTGGATTATCGTAAATGTTTTCTGCAATAATTTCGCCCGGAGATTAGTCGAAATTGACATTAATGGTATCACAACTCTGAAGTTGTTGTACTTCAAATACCGTTCACCCAAGTTATATGCTAACTTTGATGGGGAGTGGTTTTTGTAAAATCTTCTAAAAAGGCTCAGAAGCGGCATCTTTCCATAAAAAAACTTGCCTACTCCCCAGAAAATTCTGTTAAACATGATGATTTTAGGGTCCGGCAGAGTTCAAAAAATCGGAAATGGCTAGCCAAAAATAGGCTGACGAAGCTTTTTAAAAACTCGCCAAAAATAGGCTGACGAAGCTTTTTAAAAACTCGCCAAAAATCGCATGCGCACCACAATGATCTGTTTGCATCAGACTTTGTCCAACCTTGCAGGGCGACAAGCATAAATGTTGCTTTTGACTTTAAGGGGGTGTTGTGGGCTCTTTGTCCTCTTCCCCCCTCCTCACATAAGCATCAATTTTATGGTATAACGAGAGGTTCTACAAGGTTAAACATGAAGAACAAATATGTTTGTCATATCCTAATTAGTTCGCATGCCAGTTTTCGTTATATTTGGATAACGTGAACAAAATTTCACTTGTAAATTTTAGCAGGTTGGGGAAAAGAAAACGAGCCGAGTTGTGCAACACCTAGAAACTTAGGGGGAAGGGAGCAAATTTATTTTTCACTTGATCCGGGGGCTGTTTTTCCTTTCCTCCCGCACCTGCAATTTTTTACCAGTAAAGTTACTGTTCACATTGTCCGATCGTTATGAAAATTGACGTGCGGACTAACTAAGATGTGCCAAACATATTTGGTCTGCATCCTTACTTAACCTTGTGAAACCACTCGTTACACCATAAAATTGATGGTCGTGTGAGGTGGGGGGGGGGGATGAAAATCCCCCCGGGTTATCATTGTTACCCGGGGTTACCATTGTTACTAATGAGATTCAGTTTGAATAGCGAGGTATCAATTGGGTTTTTCAGTGGACCACCGATATCTCGTGGAGCCTGCATGTGGGGCTGCGTTAAGTGCTGTCTACAGCAGTGCTGGTCTGCTGAAGAGACTGGCTGAGGAGAAGCGAATCGACGTCTCTTCTGGTCCCGCGGTGATTGTGGTCTGCGGCGGAGTCAGCGTTCAGATGCTTCTTTAGGTCATCATATCTATAAAACAAAACAAAAAACGTTACTTTCGACAGCAGTATGACTAAGTTGTGAAATATTTGTTCATTTAAACTTCAAACTTTTTGTCACAAAATTGAAAATGAAGAAAGTAGTTTTTTTCTATGATCTCTTCAAAGCACGGGTCAACGTGTTTGACTTGAGTTTTGACCAAATCGGTCGCAAACGCGGAAAATGTTTGGCCCACCTTTTGTAGCTGAAAACAGTCCTGTCGAATACAAGTCAAATTATAGCCTTACGCAATTGTTTTTTAAATATGGTTCTTCAAATTTATTTCGTGTTTTTTTTCACGATGTTTTAACGGTTTGATTTTTGATTTTTTAAGTTTATTTTTAAAATTCAAAACGCGTTCTTCTAAAATTGGGTTAACTTGAAGTGAAAAATGAATGATAAATACAAAATTTTCTTGGCAGTTTAGCAAAATTAGTTTGTTGCAATTTGTGTTGCCAACATTGAGCCCAAAATTTTACCCCAAAATCGGATCATTTTTGGCTTCTTTAGTTAATAAAAAATTACGCCAAAACTAGCAAATCAACCACTGATAAAATTATAACCCAAGTAGCCTTTTAACCAATTAAGTTTAAGAAGGGAATAATCTAGAAAAGCGTGTGCGCAAAACGTTTAAAAATTGTTTTTAATTAAAAAAGGGTTGTTTCGTTTAACAAAGTTTCATAATGTCAGGGCCCCACCTCAAGGATTTGACCACTTACCAACTCAAAGAGTCCCCCCTTTGTACAATTTTGAGATATCTATTTTTGGTGACAGACTAAATAAATAAAAAAGCCAAAAGTGATCCGTTTTGATTAAATAAAAAAGCCAAAAGTGATCCGTTTTGTTTTTGGGGTAAAATTTTGAGCCTGAATTTGGCAACACAAATTGCACTTCAATTTCGCTGCTACAATTTCGTATTTATCATTTTAAATCCAAAATCAAACCAACTGGAGAAAAGCGCAATTCTTTGAGAGTAATGAGCGTAGTTAATACCCATGTCTTTTTGTGTTTTTTTTTTCAGGAGAAAATTTTGAAGTTTGCTTACGTTCAATTTTGGTTTGTCGTGAATTGACTATAAGACCCAGCTAAAGATCGAGGTACATATTTGGTTGTGTTTAAATTGTTGCGTTTATACGGATGAAGATAGTAATTTTAAAAATTGGGTTTCAACCAAAATCTTTGTTGTTTTTCTTTTAAAAAAAGTAAGTCTGAATTTTTTGGGAAATGGGATATTTCTCAGAGACATAACAGTTTTGATACAGTTTGAGGCGAATGCGCCCATGCTTCCCACAACCTGTTGCCTCGATTAAACCATTGATGCCAGATCGGCTGAGTAGTTATCAAGAAAAGCCAGTAGTTTCAAAAAAAGGACAAGAAGTCAACACATTCACGTTTTGAGGACGATAACTTCTAGTTTTGACTGGCAATCAGCTTAGTGTAATGAGCATTAGTTTCTTAGAACGAAACTTCTTTTTTCTAACCTGTTTGGCAAGTAAAAATTTTCATTAAAAATGTTAACATAATTTGAAAGTTTGCTGTAGCATTGAAAATTGCATAGAATCTGTTCTCTGCTTTATTTTTGCCCAGTGTTTGGTGCCTTTTAAGCTGTCGTGGCTAAATTTAGTGCGTGAGATGCTTAACCTCTTTTTTTTAAATTTTTTAATTATCTTTTCTAATTCTCATTTCTAATTTCTATTATTGCACTTTATAGAAATGCTTTTTGCCGGTTTCTCGCAAGTGTTTGAGAAGCGAAGCTTCGCCTCTGTGTAGAAAATTTAGACGTCGGCACTTATACAGATAGATTTCTATCAACCCTTTATTCTGAGTGAAACCAAAAACTCAGATTGATTTGAATGCTAGTTATCAAGACAAGTCAAAAAGTTTCAAAAAACGTCAAAAACAAAACAGTTTGAATTTTACGAGGTTCATTAACTTTTCTGGAATTTTTTTTGAAAAAAATCAAAAAATTGAAATTGAATTTTCGGAGAGTCGCAAGTTTTCATTCAAAAAAAATTAAGAGTTGCTGCTTATGCATGGGGACTTCGCCTAGCCCGTCTGATTGATGTAAATCAAAATGTCAGATTTGGGAGCGTATTTTTTAAGAGAAGTCAAAAAGCTTCAAAACCGTTAAAAAAATCAAAATATTATTTTTTCCGAGTCCCATAACATTTTGTGTAAATCAAATTGAGTGAATCGCTTGCGCAGGCAGCGTTTCACAGCCCGGTCAATCCCCTTTATTCAAGAGAATCAACAAATCCAAAAAAGCAGTCAAAAGTTCACCCACAGACTTTTTTGAAGGTTGTAGAAAGTCGGGTGAAGGGTAAAAAAAAATTAGAGGGCGTTAAGCAATCAGCGACACAAGCGACAGGCACTTTCCATTGATACTACTTGTTTGAAAATCGGGAGAATAGTTTTCCAGAAATATTCTTTTTTTTGAGAAAAGCAAAAATTCTTTCCAAAGCGTCTCAAAAAATATAATGATAATAAGTAAAAAACCCGATCCTGCAGTACATTTTTTTTTATTGAACAAGAGTTTTCGATATTTAAAAAATATATAATTTTTTTTCGGAGTAATGAACACAGTGAAGACTTTTAAAGGTCTTGGTGACTTTTTTTCCAGCAAAAGTCTTAAAATGCTCTAATAGCTACAGGTGTGCATTCATACATATTAATGCATTTATAAATGCACTTAGGTATATATGCATTTTTTGAGTTCAATTGAAATTGATATGGTCAAAAGTTACGAAAAAAGCATTCTCCAAATACGAACTTGAAAATGGCGCAAAAAAAACCTGAACAGAAAGTGGAAAGTGGAGTTTAGTTTTTCGATTTCCAGCTATATATAAATTTCATTTATTGATCCAGCTTTCTCAAGTTTGGTTAACGTTATCAAAAAAGTGCTAGTCATAAATCGCTCTAGAATTTCAAAGAGCTTAAAGGGCATCTATTGTTTTCTTCGAAAGTTGAGATTTTTTCAACGAAGTCTATTTTTTCCTCTGTTTACTTGAGTTCATTACTCTTTTCCAACTGTCTGTTGGCTAGGTTTTTGTTAAAAAAAGGTAAACTCCACTATCGAACAGCAAAAAAGCTAAACTCATAAAAAACGTGTTCGGCTTCTAAATTCCAAAAAGGAATTTAATTATCAAATTTCATCGCAAAATTTTTTTTTACCTATTGATCCAGTTTTCTCAAGTTAGTTTAAAAAACACAGAACTCCAAGCCGATGTTTATTTTTCTTGAACTTCCTTTGCTTAAAATTTTTGAAAAAGTGAGAGAGATAAATGGCGTACAATGGTTTTTTGCACAATTTTACTTCCTTAGGAAAAACCTCGACAGGTGTGAAAAAATGCAACCCGGGTAGAGTTGCTCACCTTATGTATCGACTTACAAATTCATGCTCATGTCAGTGCTCGACCTGAAAAAAGTAGCCAAGACAGTCGAAACGAACCTCGAGCACGGTCGAAACATACCTCAAATGAGGTCGAGCCTGGTCGAAACATGCCTCGAATAAGGTCGAGCTGGGTCAAAACATACCTCGAGCACGTTCAAAAAATACCGATTGTCCAGCGGTAGCTCGGAGTCGAAGCGGAAAATATCTGACAACAATAAACGTGATTTATTAACATTTTCGACTCGAATTGCAAACCAGTACTCCGAACGATGAAAAAATTCAAAAATAGTTAGTGCAAATGGCTATAATCATTTCATTCTGATAAAAAAAGAAACATCAAAAAATGCTACCCGAAAAGCATGATTTGTAACGTTTAAAATTGGTTAACTCATGTTGTTTGAAATTCGAAACATACCAGAATTTAGTCGAAGCATCTTACTTGGGTAGAGAACGGCGAATGACTTTTTTTCGATCGAGCACTGTCGAAGTTGATTTGTTTGGGTCGAGCAGATTTGTTTGGGTTGAAGACGGTCGAAACACGAATTTCAATCGAATGCCAAGTTTTCATGGAGACGGTCGAAACATGAAGTGAGCGCCTCGAACCGGGATAAACTGAGCGAAATCTTCCTTGGGAGTGACTTGGATATGAACTGAATATTTTTTATTCAGAATCTGTTTTAAGTTTACCAATCTCTATGGCATTGAATGATGATGATAATGCTAAAGCTAACCAAAGTTCAATTTTTCAAAATGAATTCTAGTTTATTTCAGCTAAGGGTGCCTATACCGTGCAATCCATTTTCAACTCTTCTCTCTGCCCAAAAAACAGCCAAACATTTAGGAAGAAACAAATGTTTTTGTCAATTCAATTTCAAGTTTGAACCTCAATTTTGTGTTACTTCTAAGTTGCCGACAGATCGGATGACAAGGCCTTCGGTAAAGTGGTGCTCCTTGTCTTTGTATTCTTTATTAGGTGGGTGTGGGGTTACCGGTTGAGTTTATTGCAATGTTGCAACTTCTTTTCACACTCTCGTTAATTCATTGATCTACCAAAATGATTAAATTCAAATGCGGGAATAATCATCATCTTAAAATTTAACTTGAATTACGGGAGAATTTAATCATCAGCTTGATCAGTCATAAATATCCTCGCGGCCACCCTAACGAGAAATGAGTTTGGGCAACACTTAACTGCGCTATTATGCGAGCACAACAGCGGGGCAACTTAAACTCCCTGAAGCGGTCTTTACTTCACATGACCTTGCTATATCATCTGGGCCGGTGTATGGTTGTGTCATGGGGCCAAGCGGCCAGATTTCACGTGGGGTCTATTTTTCAAGTAGCCAGACGATATCGTCAATTTCCAAAAGAGATTCATGCTGAGTCCAGTTTGATCTGGCGAGTAATCAGTAGCAAACCTTTTAAATTTTTTAATTCTCATTTCTAATTTCTTTTATTGCACTTTATAGAAGTGCTTTTTGCGGTGTTCTCGCAAGTGTTTGAGAAGCGAAGCTTCGCCTCTGTGTAGAAAATTTAGACGTCGGCACTTATACAGATAGATTTCTATCAACCCTTTATTCTGATTGAAACCAAAAACTCAGATTGATTTGGATGCTAGTTATCAAGACAAGTCAAAAAGTTTCAAAAAACGTCAAAAACAAAACAGTTTGAATTTTACGA